GGGGTTTGTGCGGGGAGAAGGGTGCAAAAATGAATGAATGGAATCCCAAAATCTCTGTAGATGTTCATTGAAATGAAAAATAAACAACCTAAATTTAAAAAAAAAAAAGAAAGAAATTAGGCTGAAGAGCAAATAGCTGAATTTTGTACAATCATTGCAAATACCTCAATAAAAAACACAAATGAAAAAAAAATGGAATTATTTTCTGGATTCAGGTCCATTTTCAACTTCTGTACATGGTACCATAAAGTCAGAACCTGATTTTTTATATATATATATTTCTCTTTCTTTTCTAGTTCAGACCATGATCGGCTTCATACCTTGGTTACTGAACACTGTTTTCTGGTAGGTTTTTTTCCTCCTTACAACTTCAGGAATGCCTGAGCTGGCAGATCCTAGACATCACCCTTGGTTTTTTTTTTGAAGGATCTGTATTGAAAGTGCAAGAAGTTTAAGGTCCAAGTTGAAGTTTCATTATTTAATGCTAATAACTTTTACTCTGGTAAAGGCCGTGACAGATGAGGGAAAAAAGTCCCACTAGCAAGCAGCACTGAAACCACAGTGTTCAGATCCCTGACATCAAGATATGGGTCATGTTAAACCAGACCTACACATGCCAGAAATGTGTTAAAGTATTTAACTAGAATTGATGAGGCTTCTATTGTGTGCTAATAACTATGGTACTAGGTGCTACTGAGAGAGGGCTAAGACATTTGGTTTAGTTAGATGTTTCAGAATAATATCTTAAGTTTCTAGCAGTGCAAGCTAATCACCCCGGAGAGAAGAATTGCTAAGTAGTCTTACCAGTTTAACATTTATTTTCGTTACTAAAAAGTCAAGGGGAAAAGGAGCATATATGTGGTCCTCAGATGAATATGCAGTAATAAGTAGATTCTTGAAAGTATATGGAGGGATAATGGTGAATGGGCTGTATGAGTTTGGAATACAATTTTCATCAATTTGCAGAAGAATCATCAAGTGTTGTAATTTAGATAAAAAAGAGTTTTCACGAGGACTTGGCACAGAAGCTTAATCAAAAGTGTGGACTCTAGGAAAGAAAATAGGCCCTAGAAGACATTTAGGGAGGAAATGTTACATGTTGACTGTAGTATTGCAGGAAGTGAGAGCACATGTGGCAAGACCAGCTTCCCTAAAAGAAGGGAAAACCTCAGTTAAACTTGTTCTCGTCTGCCTCTAGGACATGGTCTGGGACATCAAATATAAGACTGTGCGCTGGAGCTTCGTGGAATCTTTAGAGCCACCACAGGTGGTTCAGGTTCGCAGTTCAAGCATGGTGAACCAGGGCAATATGTACGGCCAGGTCACAGTACGCATGCACACCCGGCAGGTAGACGCACAGTGTGTTCTTTTGAGCTTTACTTCGCTCTCAGGGTGGGCACCTACCTCTGGGGTGTTGGGCAGATGGCTGTAGACTGTCAGTTCTAGGAAAGATTCCCCAGGACTTTCTCTGACATGTCGCTTCCCCTTCCCACTGCTAGATATTAGTTCTACTAAGACATAATGTGAGTCTCTTGTGGCCTACCTACCTGGTCTTGATTCTCTCCCCTGTTCCTCCATCAGTTGATCAATTAGTCTCCATTCAGAATTTTGAGGTAATGTTTAATGTTTTAGTGATTTGAGTGAAAATACAAAGAACAAATTGATGTTCCAGTCCACCATTCATACATACTTTATCTGATGACATTGATTACAATCCCTGCATTGTATCATCTCTTTCCACTATCTCTCTGTTGTTCTTGTTGCCATGCATCTTTCTTTCCTTCTGAGTCCTCTGGGCACATGCTGCCCTTGTTATTTTGTATGGTTGTTGGTTCCAAGGACAGAGTGCCTCCCTGGTGTTACTGTTTGACTGAAAGTTGTGCCCCAAGGGAGTGTTCAGTTCTAGGCTCAAAGGGTTGGCTTAAGGGCTACAACTTTGGGCTTCAAGCCACCATTACATATTGCTGGTGCAGTTGTTTCATAATTGTGTAGAAAAAAATAAAACTTTGAGAACTAACTCAGGATTTGCTTTCATCTTTGCAGACTCTGGCCATCTATGACAGGTTTGGCCGGTTGATGTATGGACATGAGATGTGCCCAAAGATGTTGTAGAGTATGTGGTGTTTGAAAAGCACCTGACAAACCCTTATGGGAGCTGGAGAATGCATGGCAAAATTGTTCCCAAATGGGCACCGCCCAAACAACCTATCCTTAAGGTAAGGCAGCTTGGGTTCTTGAGGCATCTGAAGCTGTTCCTGTTAAGCTCCACCTTGTGGAGACTGGAGGTGATGCCGCACCAGGGAAAGGCAGTCCTGGGAGAGAGGTACCACTCCTGAATAAGTCATAGGCTTGGTAGGGAGGTAACTCAGCTTCCTGCTCTTTCAGACGGTGATGATCCCCGGCCCCCAGCTGAAACCAGGGGAAGACTATGAAGACCATAAACCTCAGCTGGCCTGATGGCAGAAATGGTCCTGGGGTGACATTCTCATGATGGAAGTGATAGAAACTGTGGAGTCTGGAGTGTGGGAGCTGTGTGGTCATCTGTCTCAGTCATGCAATAGAAAGAACTACTTTTGTTCTCACTACTCCTGCTTGGGTTTTTTAGCAATATCATCCTCAACAACCATGACTAATGGTGGCGTCCAGGTGTATGACTCGTCTTCATTGCCTTGGAATTGTGTTTCTTTTCCTTTAAAAAAAATTATTCATCTAGCTTCTATATCTGGATGAAAAATTATATATCTTAGAGAACATCTGATACCAGTTTTTCCCACATCAGTGACTGTTGGAGCAAACTGGGATTTTTTCCCCCCCTAATCACAGGACAGGGAATATAGTCTGAAATAAAATACCGTCAGAGTATTGAAAAATTGTGATGGATTCTGTTCATTTGTTCTGTTCATTTGCCCTTACTGGAGCTGATGCACTAAACAATAGAAGTAGACAACAAGGTTGGTTGTGAGCGATAGGACTTCTGAGAAGACTTGTTGTTGTTGTTGTTATAATATGCCATCGAGTCACCTGCAACTCAAAGCCTCCCTTTGTACAATGGACCTAAACCCTGCTCTATCCTGTGCCAATCTCACTGTCTCTGACACGCCTACCCCAATTACTCAAGTGACTGAATCAATCCACCTCATAGAGGTCTTCTTCTCCTGCACTGTCCCTCCACCCTCCCAAGCATGACATTCTTCTCCAAGGACTGGTCCCTCCTTGCAAAATGTCCAAAACTATGTCAGATGAAGCTTCAGAATCTTTGCTTCCAAGGAGCAGCCTGGTTTAACCCTCTCCAGGGTGAACCTGTTCATTCTGTCCAGCTCTTTGACACATAGCAAGTGATTGCAAAGACCATGCCCTGTATCGGGTGCACTTTAGTCTCCAGAGTGACACCATTGCTCTTCAGTACTTTGGAGAGGTTCCTAACAGCAGACTTTCCCAATGCAATATGTCTTAATTTCCTAGCTGCTGGTGCCAAGAGTGTTGACTGTAGAGCCAAGTAAACTAAAGCTGTTAACAATCCCAGTCTTTTCACTATCCATCCTGATGCTGGCAATTGGCCCAGGGGTGAGAATCTCTTGTCTTCTTGATGGTGAGCCTCAATCCATATTGAAGGCTGCAGTCCTGGACCTTCTGCAGTGAGCACTTCAGGTTCTCTTCAGTTTCAGCAAGCAGGGTTGTGTCATCTACATAACGCAGATTGTTGATGAATCTTCCTCCAGTCCTGATGCCACATTTCTCACAGAGCCCAGCCTCCTAGATAATCTGTTCTGCATATAGGTTAAAAAGGTATATAGAGAGGACATGTCCCTGGCATATACCCTTCCCAGTTTTGAACCATTCAGTTTTTCCTAGCTCTGTTCATCAGAGTATAGATTTCGCGTTAGCACGATCAAGTGTTCTCGGATTCCCGTTCTTCTCAGAGTCAGCCACAGTCTGTTGTGATCCACACAGTCAAACAAACACCATTGCATAATCAATGAAACACAGACAATCCTCTGGTACTCCCTGTTTTCAGCCAAGATCGATCTAACATCAGCTACAGTATCCCTAGTACCATGACCCCTTTTAAATCCAGCCTGCACTTCTGGCAGTTCTCTGTTGATGTGTGGTTCCAGTCATTTTTGGATAATCTTCAGCAGAATCTTGCTTGCATGTGATATCAATGATACTGTTTGATAATTTCTGCACTCTGTTGGGTCACCTTTCTTTGGAATGGAAACAAATACAGATCTCTTCCAGTCAGTTGGCCAAGTGGTTGTCCTCTAGATTTCTTGACACAATTTGGTGAACACATCTAGGGCAGCATTTGTTAGTTGAAATATATCAATTGGTATACCAATTGGTATACATTCCTGGGGGCTTTTTTTTGCCAGTTCCTTCAAAGCAGCTTGAACTTCTTCCTTCATCACCATAGGCTCTTGTTCATATGTTGGTTCATGAAATTCTTCTGTGTCTGCCAATTCCTTTCGGTACAGTGACTCTGTATACTCTATCTTCTAATATTTCCTGGATCATTTAATATTCTGCCCAAAGCATCTTTTTTGAGAAGTCTAGACTTGGAAAATTATTAGTGTTTATAAACTACATATTTAAGCCTCTTTCTCAGGCACTGATTCACAGAATCATTCATATTTCATATTGTTCAGTGCTGTGGAATTGGAACTGACTCATAGCTGACCCTCCAGCAGATTTTCAGAGGCTGTAAACCACATGAGAGCAGATTGCCCATATTTTTCCGAAGGAGCAGCTAGTGGATTCAAGCTGTGTGTTATTTGGGTTGCCAGTGCAACTCCTTACTTATGAGACCACCAAACTATAAGTCCAAGGAGATCATTTAACCTTTAGCTTGTGTTCTTAATTATCAGGCGTATCTTCCTGTAATCTCAGGGAGCCAGGGAGGGGGCACAAGTCATGGAGGGGTTACTTTTGGGAAATTCATTTGATCGCCTGGGTTGCCTGATTTCGGACACTGAGAAATTGTGACTCTTGTTTTGAGCCTGCTATTGGAAAGAACGTACCGGAGCAGGAGCTTGTGTAAGTGGAACAGCCCAGCGCCTTTCTCTTCTGTTCTAGCTGGCTTGTCAGGAGAAGGATGTGAGACTTCATATGTTTATGTGTCCTGGGATCATGTGAGATGTGACAAGGGAAATCACCATATGGGCTGCTGCTTTCACTCGTGTTACGGACACCTTTTAATTTTATACTTCTGTTTTTCAAAACGGCATTTTTAAAAAAGTATGTTGTGATTTAGGGTAAGGATTAACTTGTTTTGACCTTTAGTGGAGAGTAGAGTTCCAAGAAATTGAAATCAAATCAAGATTAGTTTAACTCTTTATAGTCTTTGAAGGCTACCATCTCAGCTAAGTAGTAAACAGGTCAGGCCTCACTGGGGGAAAAGGGTCTTTTTACAATACCTCCTGAGTGCTGACTATGGAAACAAAGATGCATATGCTTGGTAGAAGTAGCAGCACTGGTGGGTTAATCCAAAGCAGCCACTCTTGTCATGCTACTTTGCCTCAACCTTTTTGGTTGAAAATGCACATCAGTTTGCAGCATTACTATCCAAGTGAGATTTGGTCACATCCTCTTTGCCTGAACCCTGGATTAAACAAAATAATGAGAAGGGAAGCACTTTAAGCAGGAGTCACAGCTGGGAGCTATTGAGGAGGGGGAGGTAATCTAGGGAAGCAGAGAAACCAGAAAGTACGCTTAATGGGCAAACAATATATTGATTTTCCTGAATATGTAAAAGCAGGACTTCAAATAAGCTGTTTCACCCCCATTCGCCTGGATCTGTCTCAGGGTCTCTAGATAATCCTAAATAGCAGCTAAGCAATAGCTGCCACTGGGGAGCCAGAGGATAAATGCAATTTTCATTTCCCCTTGGAGTCAAATCCAATTGAGCGAATGGCCCCAGATGTGAAGGATTGGCTGGAAGGCCCAGTCAGAGACCATCATCTGCAGTGTGAGCCACAGAGCCAGCACTAGCAGGGAACTGGCATGGCCACCCCAAAGGCCTGAAGGCTGCATTGTTGTCACTCTGGACTTTGGAGTTGGCATTGTTCTTTCCTTCTCTGTGTACTGGTCCTGTTCAAAACTTGGACAAACATCTTCAAGGATATGAACATGTACGGCCAAGCACAATCAATAAGAGTGCATCTAAATTCCAAAATCAATCTCCATAATAGTCTATGTGTTTCCTA